AGTAGTAGTAGTAGCCGTCGTCGTGGTAGTTATAGCAGTAGTCTTCGTCGTCGTCGTCGTTGTAGTAGTAGTAGTAGTAGTAGCAGCAGCCTCGATTGCCTGAATCCTAGTAAATATGGTCAGGCCTCGATAGCCCAGCCACTGTGCAATCCGAATCCCATCCGGACTCGATAGTTGGGAAGCCTCGCATGCGTGAGAAAGCTGCTAGGTTCGGGGTTCAGAGTTTAGTGGTTTGTGTTAGGGGCCGCACGGATGTTCCGGAAGCCAGTGGCTTTAGGTGTTTAGTACAGAGTCTAGATGAGGTTTGAGTATCTAAGGTCCTGCTGAAAATGGTGATGATTTTGGGGAGATGCGCTGACTCTAGCAACCTCGTCGTCGATACATAGCTACGAAACCTTGAAACCCCTACGGACACGAAGCCCTAGAGTCCTCCAGCCTAATACGCCTCAAAGCCATCTACTCCAAAGCCACAATAATAATCAGAACAGGGTTTGGGGGTATATTCTACTATAATTCTACTAAGGATCCCCCCAAAATATTATAAGTAATTGTTAAGGTCCCTATATTACCCTTACTTTCAACTCCCTCAACATATCCCTGATCCGAAGCCTACTTGGGCTTCGGGCTCAGGTGTTTCAGGGCCGTGCGGCACTGAGGGGTGTCGGTTTAGGGTTTAGGGTTTAGGCTTTAGGGTGTAAGGTTTAGGAGTTTAGGGTTCAGGGTTTAGGCTGTAGGGCGTAAGGTTTAGGGTTTAGGGTTCAGGGTTTAGGCTTTAGGGCGTAAGGTTTAGGGTTTAGGGTTCAGGGTTTAGGCTTTAGGGCGCGAGGTTTAGGGTTTCGGGTTCAGGGTTTAGGCTTTAGGGTGTAAGGTTTAGGGTTAAGGGTTCAGGGTTTAGGCTCTAGGGTGTAAGGTTTAGGGGTCGGCAAGGCTCAATTATGTGCGTGTTTAGGGATTCGGATTCGGGCTCAAGAGAAGTGTTTCAGACGTCTGCCCTCAACGAACTGCAAAAGATCGGGCGCGGCTAACAGACATTTAAAACGGAGACCTTGAGATCTTAGCAACATCTGACTTGCGTGTGGCAAACTATTGCTTTCTGCATTTCCCTGTGGCAAACTATAGCTTTCCTGAGCTTTCTGGCGTGGAGCCGAACTGCTTGCCAGTATCCTTTATCAAGACCAAGACCCTAAAGACTGCGCCCCAGACGATATGAACCAGGCAAGCTGTTGCAGCTTAATGTAGTATATTATACTATCACTATAACAGGGAACCCAAAAAAACGCACACGGCATAAGTCATTATCAAGGCCCCTATATTCTACCCTAAACCCTAAACCCTAAACCCTGAATCCTAAAACTTAAACCCTGAATCCTGAACCCGAAATCCAGTGCAGCCCCGTGATCTTCTCTGCCTCTTCGCGAGCTTTGGATGGTTGCGATACTCCGCTAGCAGAGGCGACTTGTTAATCTGCGCCTGCTTCGGCTTCGGGGTTTAGGGTTTCAGGTTTCGGGTTTAGGGTTTCAGGTTCGGGGTTTAGGGTTTCAGGTTTCGGGTTTAGGGTTTCAGGTTTCGGGTTTCGGGTCTCAGGCTTAGGGTTTCAGGTTTAGGGTTTAGGGTTTAAGTCTATTTAGGGTTCAGGGCCTTAGGGCTTTGGGTTAAAGGTTGGTTTAGGGTTGAGGGTTTAAGGTTTAGGGCTTCTGGTTCAGGATTCGGCCGTGGATTTTGGGCTGGGGTTCAAGGTCGAAGACAGGGGGTTTTCTAGAGATTCTAGGGCACGAAATAGACTGACAAGGCCTTGGTGTTTTCGAACATGATATTGGTTTCAGGATCTGGGTAGAGGAGGTGGAATTGAGCGTACTCCTGGACAGTAGTACAACCATTCTGGTCAAGTGCAAAGGCAAGAGTATCAGCAACAAATAGGACGGATCAGCCGTTGGTGATGTAGCAAACCTAGGACCTAAGACCCTGCACCCCAAACCCTGAAACCTTTAACCTATAAATAAGCCGGACTTTTAACCCCAAGAGGACTCGCTTTGAGTGCTGCTCACGGCTCTCTGGTGTTATCGGGGAAGAGCCGAGGCGCCCAGCAGATGTCTTGCAACTGCCTCTGTATAATAATATGCAGTATCTAGCAGCATATACTTATATGTCGTAATATGTCGTAGCATGCAGTAATGTACAAGAATAAAGATTACCATATGTAATCATACGTAGTAATGTGTAGTAACCTATACGTAGAAGTTTCTATGTGCCCAAAACCCCGCCATCATCTTAGACACAGAACTCGATGCTTGCTTGGCTTCCTCTGCTAGAGTTCTTCCCTTGGGAACTGAACTCGGCACTGAACCCAATGAAAAAGACATCCGAGGCTGTCACGATAATCTTGATGAACGAGATCAGCGACATGTCGGCCAGCTTCTTCTGCCTGAGGCCGTGGCTTCCCCGAAAGGGTACGTATTGCTACTGGATTCGAACACACAAGTCTCGTCTATCTACCTGTCTATCTAGCTAGCCGCTAGCCATCTAAGGTTCCACCTATCTCTCGATCCAGATCCATAGAACTATCGGTCGATCAATCTATCAACATTCGACAAACCCGCTCATCTGCCTATCTGTCTGCCTACCTTATTGATCTGTCCGTCAGTACATCTGTTTATCTACGTGTCTGCCTGTCTGCCGGTATACCTGTCTACCTGCCTAACTATGTATCTACATATCTGTTTACATATCTATCTACATATCTATCTATCTATCTATCTATCTATCTTTCTAGCTATCTATCTATCCATCTATCTATCTATCTATCTATCTATCTATCTATCTATCTATCTATGTTGTCTGTCTGCCAGTATACCTATCTATCTATTTATCGTTCTATCTATCTATCTGTTAACCTGTGTGCCTGTCTACCTTCGGTAACCATCTAGCTATCTTTCTTTCTGTCACTATACCTATCTAACTAGATAGATCTATCTATCTATCTATCTGTCTGTCTATCCATCTGTCTACCTAGCTATCTGTCTATCTGTTTATCTACCTATCTATCTACCTATCTATATATGTCTATCCACCTATCTGTCAATCTCTCTCTGCCTCCCTTATATATACATATATGGAACATCCCTGCATGTACCTTTCGATCTTTCTACCTGCCTGCCCACAAGTATGTATAGACATATAAACCCACGGCTACTTGCATATTCAGGTACATCAAGAATCACATGATTGAGTAAAATGAAGAAACAAACAGAAATATGACTAGGCAACAAATTACGAACAAAATGAACAGAGCAAACGAAAACTTCAAAACACGAGCAAGCAGATTCATAATCAGACAGCCAGAGAAAGTACTGACTGCCTGCCTCCCTGAACCCTCAAGCCTAAACCCTAAACCCACCGCTTCTCTCCAGGGCCCCGCTTCGCAGGAGGGTAGCCGGAGAGCCGCCAGGTCAGAAGAAAGGCCTCGCCTTTTTCCGGGAATTGATTGAGGATAGTAGTCGGAGTCATGATAAATCGACTCGTAATCATTATAATAAAGCAATAATAATAATAACGTCGTAGTAGTAGTAGTAGTAGTAGCAGCAGCAGCAGCAGCTGCAGCAGCTGCAGCAGCAGTAAGCAGTAAGAATAAGAACACATAATAACGATCATGCCACTTATGACGACTTATCTACTTGCTTCGCTGGCATGCATGATGCAAGGTCTCACACAGGCTTTATGAAACGATTTCACGGGCTTCAGCCCCTCGTTTAGGGTTCTGGTCTATGGTTGTTTGCGTACTTGGTGTTTTGGGGCAGCCCGGGGCAGAGTGGTCGGGCTGAGAAGAATCACCGGCATTCAGACTGCTGGTTGCTGTCACAAGCAGTTAACAGAGGTAACGCTGAAACCCTTGATCCCTATAGAGCCCTAAACCCCAGACTCCTTGACCCCATGCAATAGTGGGGCTTTGATTTTGTCATCGAAGTCTCGGTGGTTACAAGTTGCTTTTACTTGGCTTTACAGATTGCATTCGCGGGCTTCGAAAATGGCCCGGGGTACGTTGCAACAGTACACCGGTATAGAGCACTGCAAGGGCATATCATGTTTATTATTCTTTATGGTTAGCTTCAACCAAGTTATAGCAGATGATCCCAAACTCCTGACGCCGGAAATGATCCCAACCTCTTGATGTCGGAAGACGAAAATTTACTCAACGACTTCACCGAAGATTTTGGAACAGGGATGTGTTGCCGCTTTGAGCCTTATGGCCTTACGACCAAACTGAAATTCCAAACCTGAAGCCGCAACACCAACAGTAGGGTTTAGGGGTTTAGGGTTTAGGGTGGCAAGGGTTTAGACTAATTACGGTCAGGGGGGGGGTTTAGCAGCTTAGCACTACTAAACTTGTGCCATACTTCCTACTTCCCATCGTACTTGAGGTAATCAAACTTGTATCCATCAACAGTACGTCCAACAAAGGATCGCTTAAGGTTAATGGGTCGTTATAAATTACCCAAGTAGTATGAAAGCAGGGATCGAGGGCTTGCCCAGACAGAAAGACTTAAATACCAGTATCAAGGCCAAAATCCTGCCAGGCCCAAACATCACATCCCCGACCACACCTAAACCTTAACATCAAGCATCCTTAAAACCTTCCCACGCCCAAGCTACTAAGCCCGCAGGATTTTGAATCCCGAGGGCTCGAAACCGCCTTTCAATTCTTCTATATCCTCAAGAACTCTCGGTCCGGAATATGCTCCAAAACCCCGAAACCGAAGGGCTTAGGGTTTAGGGGTTAGGGGTTTAGGGGTTAGGGGTTTAGGGGTTTAGGGTTTCGGATTTAGGATAGGTTTGGAGCTTCGGGGGGCTAAGCTCGGCTCCTGGGTGCTCAGGTTTCGGGGGGAAGTTGAAGGCTCCATCTCTGGGAGGCCAGGCCGATGTTCTTGTTCGGATTGCCGAAGAACTCGTTGACGCCTGGGCTTCAGCAACTGTCTGGTTTAGGGTTTAGGGATTAGGGTTTAGGGTTTAGGGTTTAGGGTTTAGGGTTTAGGCGCAACTGTCTGGTGTTTTTTGGGGAATGGGGGAATGGATCATTATGATAGTCCCTGAAGTTCCCTTAGAGTAGTCCTATAACCCATTCCCCCATTCCCTACTAAGCACCAGACAGGCAAAGTTGAACTGCTGTAGATCCTTACTCGCAAGTTCAACGGAACGAGATGATGAGGAGGATGGAAGTGAGGATGCTGCTGGCCGTGTGAGTTGCTGGTGCTGCTGGTCGCAATGGTGAAGGGTCGGAACCTTGAACCCGGAACCCGAAAACCTTAAAACCTAAACCCCTTAACTCTAAACCTAAAAACCCCTAAAACCTAACCCTAAACGCTAAACCCTAAACCCCTTAACTGTAAACCTAAACACCCCTAAAACCTAAACCTCTTAACTCTACGCCGTAAACCCCTAAACCCTGAACCCTAAACCCCTAAACCCCTTAACTCTAAACCCTAAACCGTTAACGCCTCGGGATCAGGGCCGAGGAGCAAGAGTGGATGACTGAGGCGATCCGGTTCACAAAGACCATCACCTGATCCTGGCCGACGGATTGTAGGGGCCGTAATGATTCGAGCAGGGTTTTGGGGTAGAGTATACGCAATAATCTGAATGAAAATGAAACCCAATGGAGACTATTATTTACGAAAGGCTTCTGCGTAGACAGATCTGAGCGCAGGAGCACATAAGACGTACTTGCCTCAAACACAGTGCTGAAGGCGGAAGTGAATGCTGGTGGACTCGTACAAGTCCTTCTCTGGCTTACGCAATGTACCCTGGTACTTGTATTCATTAACTCGCAAGATTTCGAACTACAGTTTAGGCTGTCTGGCTGGGCGGCTGGAGTGTAGACTTCATTCAGGGCCTTGGTTTGAACATCGAGCGGCAGGCTTTTAACTTGGGGCAGGGCTTCAGAGTTTGGGATTGGACTTCGGAAATCAGACTCTTTGGTGTGGGTTTGGATTCAGGGTTCCTAAACCCTAAACTGAAATAGTCCTGACCATAATCCCTATACATGCATGACATGCAGGGATTTCATGAGCATCATCACGAAATCTCCACGGCCCGGCATCCCGAAACCAACACCATGAAAGCCCAAACCAAAAGTTCCATAACAGAGCCTAGAACCCGAGCACACCTTCAACTCTCAACCTCCAAATCCGTGCAAACCGAATATTGCCCATCCAAAAACCAAAGACCCGGAAGGAAACCCCGAACCCTGAATCCTCACTCCTCCAAGACTTCAGCCTTACAAGCTTGAATCAGAAACAAACCCCGAAACCTTTTTTGTCTGGAACTCTGGAACCGAAAGGCCTGAAACCTTCCTATATAGTCTCCATTGTACTTCCTTTTTTGGGTTTAACCAATTATATATTAAGGTTTATAAGGTATCCCCAAAAAGGAACTACAATGGAGACTATAGGTTGGGTTCAGGGTTATCAAGGCCCTGCAGTTCAAAAACCCTGAACCCAAGCCGCTCGGAAACTTTAAACTCTGAACCCCCAAACCAAAGATCCAGAGCCCTAAGTATATACCCAAAAACCGCAGCCCCTGAACCCAGCCTTGTCTCTAAACCCACCTCAACCCTAAACCCTATTATAATCCTAAACCCCGAACCCTAAACCCTAGAAACCCTAAACTCCTCAAGGCATAACGCTCCAGACCTGAAGGACTTCGGTGGCATCCGTGAAGTTGCGGATGTCGCAGAAGCCGAAAATAGCCTGGCCCAGACTCCGGGCCGGGGCCCGGGCGCTTGAGACTTCTATGGGTTTAGGGTTTAGGGGTTTAGGGGCTAAGGGTTTAGGGTTTTTTGACACCTTTTTCCAACTGCATAGGGTTTAGGGTTTAGGGTTTAGGGGTCTATAGGGTTTAGGGTTTAGTGTTGCTTGTAGTCTCCATTGCAGTTCCTTTATGGGTTCTCTTACAGGCACCTAAGCAGAGACCTGGTTGAATCAAAAAACGAACTAGGGTGGAGACTATAGCAACCTTTTTTAGATGGTCATCAGCTTTGGTCTTCTGCAACGTGGTTTGGCGAGCCTGAAGGACGTTCGGCTTCCGCCTCAAGGCTCTGTTTGGGAATCTGTAAACCGTATCATCCGATTCTACACGTAAAAGCACGAGCACAGAGTCTGGCAACGGAGGCGACGTGGAGTGACGGTTCGAGTTCCATGACCTCCTGTCACATCATCAAGACACTCGTCAGCTGCACAGAGGCAATCACCAAACTGCATTGTGCTTTTGGAACTTTGTCTCCTGCATGAGCCTTAGGCCCAGAACAAGTTGTAGAGTGGGTGCCTCAGAAAATATACTTGATATGCCGATGCATCGCTTGCGCATCTTATTCCTCGGCTCAGCAGCATTATTATTTGTAGCGCATAAAACCAATAACTATTCAATTCTAGTCCTTGTGATCACACGTCAAGAGGATGTTCATGATGATGGCGTACGTACGCACATAGGTATGTATGAATGTAGGTACGTAACGCATGTATGCAAGCCTGCATGTGTGTGTGTGTGTGTGCGCGCGTCTGTCAGAACTATCATTTGTTGTCAGTCGTCTTGCCTCAAGCAAGACCTAGATCTTATAAACCTACACTAAGCCCTAAACCCCTAAACCAGAAACCCTTAACCCTAAACCCCTCGCAAAGCGTTGAGCCACGCTCGCAAATGAGTTTCTGGAAGCTGCACCTCGAAACCGGTTCAACAAAGGCCCTGATTGAAGGCTGGGGCTACAGGGCTCAAGGGGATTGCGACGACTGTGCAGTTGGTGTTCTCACATACCATTAAGGCCTTAGTGGTACTGCAATAATAATCAGGAACCCGACGCAATAGGGTTGGTAACTATTCCGGCTTCTATATTACAATGATCAAGGTTGATGCCTTCTTCACTCCGAGCAATATATGCATATATATATATATACATACATACATACATACATACATACATACATACATACATACATATATATATATATATACACACACAAGCTTTGGGTGGTGTTCCTGCCCAAGCGTTCAGAAGACATGCCTGCCTCCACACGCCTGCCAGGGATCATGGCCTCAACAGTCAAGACGAATATAGCTGGTGACCCAAAGCTGTTCATCCGTATTCCCCGAACTTACTAGACCCTTATCTAACAATCCTGATCACTTATCGTTAGATGCTCCTCACGGACACCATGTTGCCATCTCCACACAGAAAACTGGCTGTCAGCATGTCCTGCCGTGGTTCAGTAGAGTGCCAACACCGAATCGGAAACGGGGTGCTGAGTCTTCGCGAGGGCAAATTGAAGCAAACAAACAGGCCCTACAGGCCCCGAGCACGAGTGCGGCTTGGCTGTTAGTGTTGTGCAAACATGAACCCTGCCACTATCGACCGACAGCCTGCAGTCCATCCTATGCAGGATGCAGCTGCAAGGGCCACCACTGATTCTCAAGACCGGGCGTTCTAGATAGATTCTAGCGATGTCGGTCGGACACAGGAAGGGGTTTCCTGAAGGCTGATTCGGACTTCCGTGTTTATGCTGATGCGACTCACCGCCGCGGGAGACCCACACGAGATTCACTAGATGGTGCTGATGCCCTGGGCTTGGGATTCGCATTTGCCATCCTCGAGGCTATCACCTGTCCCTGATGGTGCACGGAGGGTCGGGTCAAAAGAAGATGCCACTAGCGCTCCTGCGCTCCTGATCCCAGGGCCTCAGATTCAGGATTGTGTGCGACTGCGGTCGGGTGGGAAGCAAGGTGGCAATCATCGGATTCGGCAGCAGCCCACTTCGCATGCTTCGAGCAGATGTTGAAGTTGAAACCCGGACGAGATTTTTCTGCAGGGGCAGCACGCGACGGCCAGCACGAAGCACGAGCATCAGCACCTTTATTGGCGCCCTGTTTCACCCCGACCCAACACACCCCGAGCATCATCGGCATCAGCGGCGACCCTTTTGCATCCACTGGTATGCTCGCGATCTTCACCATCAGCGAGATGTTTCGTGCCTCCCATCCGTACAGTCGACCCCAATCGCGAATCCAACCCTAAAGAAAACGGGCATCAGCAGCATCATTGCCTCTGTGTTTTCCACACAGCTCGATATGTGCCTAACTTCAGGCTTTCAATCCCTAAGCACATTCAATTATAAACATGAAGCTGCAGATCGCGACCCAGGGCTATCTCACCGGCAGTGCCTGCTCTTGCGGAGCATTATTCCCTACCGTGGCGAAATGGAGGACCAATCAACATTGCAAGCAACTGCTTCTCACACCCACCCCAGGCAAGCACAGTTGGTAAGAGGGGAGCAGAAAGGAAGCTCCATTCTGCATTACGGTTTAGGGTTTAGGGTTTTGGTTTAGGGTTTAGGGTGAACCTGGTTTACATGCAAAACTTGCCCCACGCCCTCTCCACCGCACCCGGTCCCCCCTCCGTTCCCGCCATGATTTGTAATAGAAGCAAGAGTGTTTTCGTGGACAACACACCTGGGCACAAGCACTCACGCGAAGAGAACCCCTGTTTTGGGATATGCAAAAGCACGAGCACAGCACAAGCGCGTCATGGGCATCATCAGCGATTTGTTTTCCACAGGATCCGACGCGCAACGAGCATCAGCAGCATCAGGGGCAACGCTTTTCATGTCCTTCCACTGCCGACTTTTACCTCACAGAATTACGACACGAGAGCCCGAGCATCAGAAGCATCAGCGGCGCCCTGTTTCAGCCTGACCCCGTATGCCGCCAGCATCATCAGCATCAGCCGTGGCCCGTTTCAATAAATGCACACAGTCACGATGTTGAAGCTGCGAATGCTCAAGGGCTGATACACCAAACGATCCTGACTTGTTCAACATCCCACCCTCCATCCGGAGACACCGAGAAACCTACACTTTCAGGGTCACTTATTATGATACTCTTATATCAGTACAATATGGCTCCTTGAAAAGGTGGGTAGGGGCTGAAGTAAACCCTAAACCAAAACACCATCAGCGCTGAACCGAGGTCCCGGCATTCAAAGCTGCTGAATCCCCACCGCGCATGTTTTGGCCAATAATCTCTGCACCCGCCTTCGATAAAGAGGCTTCTGTAAAGGTTCTGTAAGGGTTCCAGGAAGCTTCTATGTTATAAGGGTTCTAGGACGTTCTGTCTCTAAGGGTTATATAAACGTTCTATAGCAAGGTCTGATAAGAGTTGTATAGTTGTTCTGTAAGCTCCTTGCAAGCCGAGATTTTGTCGGGGTGTGGTGCTAAATGACTAGACACTAAACCCTAAAGGCTTTCGACCCCAGAAAACCTTCTCAACATGCCGAGGCCCCGACCCATAGGTAAGGTACCCCTGAGCCCTAAACCGTATCCCCTAAACCCCTAAATCCCAAACACTAAAGGCTTTAAAGAGCCAGCTTGTGCTCGCCAAAGTCGGCCAAAGTCAACACGCAGTCCCAGTGTGAAGAGTTCTAGGCAGAACTAAGTCAGATGTAGCAGTAGGGTTTCTCGACGTTGGCGTTTAGGCTTTTAGGGTTTGTCAAGGGTTGAGAACTTCGAGTTGGTATGGGTTGGAGGAGTGGGAGCAACATGTTTGCGAGAAGTATGGCTTTCGCTGTCTTTGGACATGTCCGGGTCTTGTAGCGATTGTCGTGGACCGTCCAGGCTGGTGTTTGGCAGCTCGCAATTGAGTTTATTTCATATTAATGGGGACTGCTGCGAGAACAGAAGAACAACATGGGCGTCTGGGCTTCTAGTGTGGAGCCTTTCAACAAAGAAGCTTGAAGCCCAGAGCTTTGGCTAGCAGTTGAGCTTAGGACCATCGGATGCTTCATCAAATCGGTGTCCATCATGCAAGGCTTCCCGAACATCAGCATGGTCTGAGCTGCAGGATTACCAAGAGACAGAATACCCAAAGCCCTAGGCCAAATCTGAACCACACAGGCCACCGGACTTGATCAATGAATTGCAGCCCCACACAGAAGAGCCCCGACGTAACCACCCCGGAGCCCGCACACTCCCAAACTCCGAAACCAAAAGCCTAATCGACTACGGGTACGGCTACTACCACCACGACGACGACGACGACGACTACTACTACTACTACTCCTGCTGCTGCTTTTGGCAGTTGTACAGACAGCGAAGTTAACACCCAGGCGGACAACACGAATCCTACCCTTCTTCTGGACGTCCTTACGAAACAGATCTCGTGTCTCTCTAAGTCTAACTACAGCCACCTCAGTAAGCAACTCCAAACCCCCAAAACCCCAAAAAACACACACCCTGACCCCGAGACCCTGAGCCTACCTATAGTCTCCATTGTAGTTCCTTTTGGGGATACGTTATAAAAACCTTTATATATAATTGGCTAAACCAAAAAAAGGAACTACAATGGAGCCTAAACCCTAAACCCCTAAACCCTATACCCTAAACTTTAAACCCTAAACCCTAAACCCCTAAACCAAAACCCTAATAAACCCTATACCCTAAACCCTAAACCCCTAAACCCTAAACCCTAGTAAACCCTACGTCAGGCAAGGCCTCACCGAAACCAAGGGCCAGGAGTGAGCCGATCTTAATGATGGTCCTTGGAGTGTCTGGGTTTCGGGTTTAGGGGCTTAGGGCTTTAGGGTTTTAGGGTTTAGGGTTTAGGGTTTTAGGGTTTAGGGTTTAGGGTTTAGGGTAGTGTCTGGTTTCGGGTTTAGGGGCTTAGGGTTTTAGGGTTTAGGGTTTCGGGTTTTAGGGGCTTAGGGTTTTAGAAGTTCATGGGTTTAGGCTTCAGTGCTTTGGAATTTAGGGTCTTGGGGTTGGGGGTTTTGGGGGGGGGGATTTGGGGTTTCGGGGCCTAGGATAGTTTAGGGATGTGTTGCGTGTGGATGTGCCCTCAGCTTACAGGATTTGAGGCATGCGTTGCGGCCATGACATCGGTCCAGAATTGGGGATTGGTTTCAGGGTTTTGGGCTCAGGGTTTAGGTTGTTGCTGGTTTCGGACTCAGGCACGCCAGGCCTGGGCAGAAGTGGAGAGGAGCCTATCAAATCACAGGGTGATGGAAGTGACTCCTAAGGCCCAAACTAATTAAACCCTATACCCTACCTCCTAAGGTCCTAAACCAATCCCTAAACATCACAGATGTACTTGCGACCCTTCCCCACACACGCTTCGGCAAGGAGCAGACTCTGAATTGTTGGGTCTATCCCCGGATTGGCAGAAATCGACTTCGCGGTCTCAAATATCTGTGATGTAGACCTCGCTCAAGGACACGAACAACAAAAGCAAGGACATCCCTACCTTATTGGGCTTCATTGATATGGAGGGATATCACATGTTTTGCTCATGTGCTTCATTAGGCAGGGCCAGATTATCCCAGACCCTAAACCGTTTTTGACCTAAACCCTAAACCCGTTTTACCCTAAACCCCAAACCCTAGTTACCCTATTTATCCCCCCCAAACCCTGTTTACCCTAAACCCTATTTGCCCTAAGCCCTAAACCCTATTTACCCTAAGCCCTAAACCCTATTTACCCTAAGCCCTAAACCCCATTGCCCCAAACCCTAAACCCCTAAACCCTATGTACTAGACCCTATTTACCCTAATTTAGGCCCTATTTACCCTGGACCCTATTTACCCTAAACCCTCACCCTATGTACCCTAAACCCTATTTACCCTAAGCCCCACACCCTATTCTAAGCCCTGACCCCCATTTGCCCCAAACCCTAAACCCCATTTGCCCTAAACCCTAAACCCCTAAACCCTATGTACCAGACCCTATTTACCCTAATTAGGCCCTATTTACCCTGGACCCTCCTAAACCCCCCAAACTGAGCTCTATGTACCCTAAGCCTTATTTACCCTAAGCCTTAAACCCCATTAACCCTAAACCCTAAGCCCTATTTACCCTATATAAACCCTATGTGCCCTAACCCCCCCAAACTGAGCTCTGGACTTCTCCAGGACCACGGTCTCCATGGGCTCGGGGATGGGCTTGGGAGAGGAACCTCGTCGCCTGCGGATCGGTTCCCTTTTCAAAAGGGCGCCCGCGAAGGGACCCTTAAAGGGTTTCAGGGGTTTCCTTTAAAAGGAGCCCTCAAAGGAACGTGAAGATCCCTTGGCGGGGTCGTAA